AAATCCCGTAATACACCATGCATTTGCAAAGTATCAGCCAGAAACTCGGGATGTATATTCACTACACACCAGTCGGTTAGAAAACTTGACGTTTCCTGATGTAATGTATACCAGGAGATTTTGTGCTCCAGGATTGTGACTGGGTAACATGAAATATTTTGTACTCTATCACGATGCAACAAGAACAGCTTTTGGAAAAAAACTCATTTTACCTCTTTGTGTCAGGACAAAATAAAACCGGAAGGTGCAGCAGGTTGAGACTTGCTGCGTCCATCAGGAGCCATGTATTGATATCTGCGAGAGCACAAATCTTGCACCCACCAGACTAAGATGCCCAATAGCAAGCAGCCTGTGTTGCCACCTAGGTATATGATAAACCATGAATGGAAATGTGAAAAATAAAGCGTGTGAATGTTGACTGGAATCGCCTCAGAACAATACCGGGAAATGAGAAACGAGTACCAGAATCGCACCGGTCTGCAGATTAACAAAGCTCTCACTTCCTATGCCCTACGCAGACCAACTCAAACTTAAACATGACTTAATCTACCATCGACGACAAACCGCATTAATTGTCAAGGATGCAACGAACATTCGTGGGACACCGCACGCCCAACCACCTAACGCAGACGACCGCCCACTCACGCACCAACAATGTCATGGCAATGCAAATCAGAGAATCACTCGCAGTTCAGCATCGGAAACTTCTTAACTATTCAGCAGCTTGAGCCCGCCTCCAAGCTCATGTTGGAGGTTGAACATAGCAAAACTCTCCAATTAGGTTTTAATGATTCGCCTCCTCGTGATTGATTTGTCAAGAGCATAAGTATTCTGCTCGCGCTCATGCCTTGAACAGATTTGTAAACATTTAGAGGGAAGCTATATAGAGATGGGCATCACGATTATGAAGAGGACTTATTGTACTCATCCAGATCGGCCAATCTATCTATCTATCTATCTAATCTCTCTCTCTCTCTCTCTCTCTCTCTCTCTCTCTCTCTCTCTCTCTCTCTCTCTCTCTCTCTCTCTCTCTCTCTCTCTCTCTCTCCTCTCTCTCTCTCTCTCCCTCTCTCCTCTCTCCTCTCTCTCTCTCTCTCCTCTCTCTCTCTCTCTCTCCCTCCCTCCTCTCCTCTCTCTCTCTCTCTCTCTGTGTGTGTGTGTGTGTGTATACATACCTATGCATATAAATGAGCCAGACCTTTATATTTGATTTTGCAATCTGCATGAGTCATGCATCAAGTGTTCCAATGTAAATATGGTCTGAACTTAGTCAAATGAATGCAACAGCTGAGTCACTGAGCTGAGTCGGATTCCACAATCTCTGAGCCAGTCTGGAGCTGGTTCAAGACATTCGAGTCAAACCCAAGTCTGATGCTAACCACATCTCGAGACTAGTATCCCATTCTTTCTACTACCCGGATGACAATATCTTTTCCAATGCCCTGTCGTCCAGGACATATCATTATCATACTCAGCCGGTAGGTAACACTCTTCTGCAAATCACGTGCGAGTTTCTCCAGGCACGCTTCCCAATCACTTCCACGATCCGCCCACTGACCACCAACCGACTGACCCCGCCGCGCACTAGGAGAAACGCGCATTCGAATGGGAATTGAGACCCCAAATTGAGAAAAGTGAAGGTTTATATTCTTATCGAAAGAAAAGAAACTCGCGTCGTCCACCTCCACGCAGCCTCACGTCCTCTGGTCAGCGTTGGAGTTACCGGGCTGCTCTGTTTAGTATTTGTACGTACTAAACTCTGCCACTGTTAGGACGTATCGGTACTAAACACCGTTTCCCCTCTTAGCACCAATACGTACTAAATATTTTCAAGGATATGTTGGAGGATCCTATATTTGTGCCTGCGGCACTCAAGGCGTTCGAGAAACGTACCATATGAAATGATGTGGGGTCACTTAGTTTTTGGAAGGCGTTTTTGATGGGCGATGTCCTGCCCTTGCGAACTATGTGCTGCTGAAATTATCGTGTAATATGTGCAGGTATGTTGGGTCTAGCGCTGGAGTCTGAAAATGCTACCCAACGAGCTCATGTCTATGTCACTGAAACCAGAAGTTATGTTCTATCATGCGCTGTGGCGGCACCGAGTTGAATATCACTGTGATGAAGTTGTTCGCCAAGATAAACTTGTTTGCTCTGATCTTCGTCCAAACTTGCGCTCCCAACAGGCAACAAGCTGTCTTAGGTATTCCAGCATACAATGACTTGTGACAACTCCTTGCATCTGTTTTTCTGGCGGAAATAAACAAATAACCTAAATTTAGAATGTCCAGATAAACCATTATGCTGCTGAAACTTTAAAAACTGCTTAGAAGGAACTTCATCAGCATGGATTTAGTTGTTAAATTTTCTGGTGCATTGGACCTGATTGGATTGGACTGAAAAAATATAGTGTAGGCGAATTGGCAGGCAAATGAGACCTGGACTAGCTGGACTGTACTGGACGGGGTCTTCAAAATTCAGTCTGTGAAGTGCTCTTGCTGCGACATGGGCGATTTTGACATGGACAGTCTGGAAGCAAATCTGATGTCATAAGCATGTTCCGTTCATTCAGTGAAGCAATCAAAAACATTTAAGGACAATTAATGAAGGACTCTGGACTTCATTGAAAGGACTTAAAGGACTTAAGGATGAGGAAGGACTTAAAACCTGGATTTGTCCCCAGATTTAGGCCACTAGGTTGTGTTTCCTGTGTCAACATAACACTTGTTTTGTAAACAGATGTAGAGTTGCACAGCTCATACCCTGTTGGAATGCTGCAATCATACACCTTAATACCTAATTTGTGCCATGTTCTGAAATTGGTCACATCTTGGATAAGTTCCATCCACCCTACTCTTTAAAACAGTGGTGCAGGCAGAATATGCTGTAGAATTCAGTTCTCTTTAACCCAAGTATACTGTTGATGTTCACAAAATCACCCAGAAAGCTAGAAAAACAGAAAATCAGTGGGCCATACATACTTAACAGTTTTGGTCTTGCTATGATACAAGAAAAGGACAATTTTTGACTCATTTCTAAGTAGGTGGGCCATTTCGGCCGAACTCAGTCTGCATGATGGAGAGGTGCAGGAATGATGACCCGTTTGCATGTGATTGCAGTTTAAGCACACCAGCTTTAACTTAAGCACGAGCGAGTCGACCACGTGCTCCACGTTCAAAACCTCTGATTGGCGAAGCTCTCGGAGACCGACCAACTGGACGCCGCGGCCCTCCTGACGTCTCGGCATTACGATGCAGTCCCCCTCACCGCTAGGCCGACGTCTCCACTCGCGCAAAATGCTTCGTTACTTGGTGTCCCTCCTGTTCGTCACCGCTGTCTTCCTATTCTTATTGCGGCTTTGGTTCGGTCCGCCACCCTCTGGCATTGCCGGATCCGCGGGCAGCGCCGCCTACCGGCTGCCAGGGTGCGCTTGCGAGCGTCACTATGACCCGGCGATCCCTCGTAGTCGCTCCAGCTGCGGTGGGTTTGCCGACCTGCGCGGCGCTGGCCAGCGTGTGATCGCCTTTAGCTTCTTTGGTGAATTGGTCAACGACTTCTTCCGCGGGATCGAGAAGAACGCGGAGCTCGCGCGGCAGTTCTACCCGGGCTGGGTGATGCGAGTCTATCACGACATTGACCTGCGCACGCCAGCCGGCAGGGACGCGGTGTGCGGACTGCAGTGCCGGTAGGTCAGAGCCCTAGGGATAGGGGGAGAAAATGTCAGATGCACTCTTTTTAGTTCCATGAAGTGGGACCGAATTGCAGAATCTATTGTCAGCCTCTTGACTCGGTGCGAGGGGGCACGCCCTCTCCCATCGGCCCTCGCCTTGGCTACGTCCCTGCGTGCACGACCTTCGAAGTGTATGGGGTTTGTGTTGTTCGGTGTTAGTGTGTGAAATTTCTATTGTTTCCAAATATGGTGGTTAACCGCAGTCATAGAAATTTGCAAAGTTGGAATAGTAAGACGTTCCCGATCGCCCCAAAATTCTCTGCACGTGATTATCGACTGATGTTGGCTGAAGATCAGAAGAAATTCTGTGTGGGGAATTTCTTCCAATGGGGTGTGCACCACTTCTTACGGCATGCAGCGCTGAGCTCGGAGTCCTCCGCCGCGCAGGTACGACCACTTGGACTTTTGTGGCGTACGCCATGTGGCGGGCCTAGGTGACATCAGTCAAAAGCACTTCTCCGTTTGGAGGTTCGTCGTTCTGGCGGACGACTCGGTCCGCAGGTTCATCGTGCGTGACCTGGACTCTCTGATGAACCAGGTGAGGTCACCACTCCGATCGGATGGGGCGTGATACGAGTCATATCTCGTAACAAAGCTGCAGAGCATTTGCGTTGTCTCCGGAGATAGTTTGCGCAAAATGAATGCCCGAAATGATTCGCGTCAGTAAGCGCCTTTCTATCGAGCTATGATGTCTCTGAAATGTTGAACGGTATGAAGAGAATTATTGCAGGTGTTCGGCATATATGGCGCGTGTACACAAACGCAAGGCGATGGAGCGCAGATGATTCCGTTTCACTATGACCGTCGTCTTCAAGCTAGACGTCAAAAAGAGCCCGACGTGGTTCTTAGAGACTTCCTCGTGATGTCAGCCCGTCCCGACCTAACCTTACCTGATCCGTTCCAGCGCGAGAGGGACGCTGTGGATGAGTGGCTGGCGTCCAATCGGACCTTCCACGTGATGCGGGACCACCCCGAGCAACAGATAGAAATTCTTGCAGGGATGTGGGGAGGCTGGAACCGCTACAACAGCGTTTACCGACCCGTCCTTCGGAAGATAATGAACGCCACAACACGGCTGGTTAGTAGACCACTCGCGAGGGCGCATGTGGGTGAAAGGCTCAGGCGGATGTAGCATATCCTGTGGATGATTGGGCAAATCCAGTGGTGCGATATAGCCCGAGTGTATGAGGGTTGGTGCATGATCATTCTGGGTACCACACAGTGATCTTTGATCTTGCTATAGGAGTGTGAGCAGTATGAACAGCAGGATTTCTTGTGAGAGCCTCGAGATCTTGAGTTCGGCCCCGGACCGCGTCGTGATTTGCTGGGATTTCTCAGGCATTGGACGAGCGGGGCAACATTACTGACATCGCTGACAGCCGACGCTCGTGCCCATCACCAACCCAGTGATTTCCTTTGCATATATTTATGAATGCCGACTGGCATTCCCATGTTGATAACCAATTAAATCCAACCAGCCATAAAATATTTCTGATAAAGCCTGGATTTCCAGTGAACGTAGGTGAAAGTCGTAATGTTTGTGCTGCATGAGCGAAGCTTGACTGGAACCTGGCTGTCCGACAGGAGTCCAAGATGTCACATCACTCGAAACCCGTGCTCAAAAAGCTCGTCAACCAAGGTGCAAGCCGCCCGCCCCCCCCCCCCCCCCCTCACCGGTGTGCCCCGTTGCAGTGGAAAGATGAGCAGACGCTTCGGGCGGTGCTCTGGCCGGAGATGCTGCGCCGGCGGGACGTGCTGGCGCATGACAGTTACACGTGTCAGAAGTTCCCACACACCAAGCCGTTCCCGTCCCAGCGACGAAACCGCGAGTTTGTGGGTGCGAAGCTGCTGATCTTGAACCAGACGGTGCCGGAGCCGTGTCCGCCGCCCTGCCGTCCCCCACAGCACCAGGACTGGCTGTGGTGCTGATACTGGGTTGCTGGTCACCAGGTCATATATGCATCTGATCTGTGGCACAATAGTACAAAAAAGAACACTGCTGCAGCGTTCGCAGAGCAGAGGGATTGCTGCATAATGGACCGCCTGAATTGTAGCACCTATGCCCATCCAACCTAGCTATGCTATTCAAGGCTGCTGCGTTGGTGTGAAAGTCCGACTTAACGTCGTCAACACTCCGCTGCTCTGCCATGTTCGCCACACGAATGCCGACGCACAGTCACTGGTCGAAGCGGCCAGTCATGAGAGTCTTCCGAAAGTATAGAGCTTTTTTGCGACCAACGGCGGTGCTGAGGCTGGTGCGGCGGAAAGTCTATCGAGAGAGTCGGACGTGTAGAGATAAACCATTGAGTGCTTCGGAAGTGCTATGTTTGTGAATAGTCATGTCCTGTGCTGGTGGTGTTTGGGGCCATCCTGATTTTAAGTGTTGGTGTTTTCTGAACTGTATCCGCAGATGCGTTGTGAGCTTTGGAATTTCTGTATCTGGTACTGGTGGGCGCTTAGAGGCATAAGCATGTTGGGGGTTTGGCATTTATCTGTTTTTTATAACCTTGCAAAACGGACTGATTCCGTGGAGGTGGAACTTGTGTTGCTGATACCGTGGTGACGGGGCTCGCTGTGCTGATACCGTGATGACGGAACTTTCCATGGTGCTGATACGGTGATGATAGAGCCCGCTTTAGTGTTTATGCCGTGGAATGTTGAACTGGCTGTGGTGCTGAGGCTGTGGGAACCGAATCGGTTATGGTGCTGACACTCTGATTGCAGTCAACATTATCCCTCGGCAGTCACGCGGCCCGCAACGGGCAGGGTCCATCGCAAGGACCGGCTGTCGCACGAGGGCCCGCGGTGGTGCTTGCAACATTAAATCCAGTGGGCCTGACCCGATTTCCCGGCTTTTCCGCGGTGTTCGTCGGTTCACCACGGGTGAAACGCATGTGTGGCGCGCGGCGGTGACGGGGGCTGGTGCGGCGGCGCCGTGACTCCGCGCCTGCTACCTTAAATTACCTTTCCCATAAAATAACTTGCGTCGAGGTGCGCTGTCATTTGCTGTAAGTTATCGGTTTAAGGATCACGGTGTGTCATAGGGCAGGAAAAATGGCTTTGCCTCGGCGGACGGCATGTGCTGCCTAGTTCAACGTCAATCCGGCAATTTTTCAGCAAAGTTCTTGCAAAGGAAAGTTGTTCCAATGTAATCGAAATAATTCTGTAAGATATAGCGTGGATTACCACATCTCATTCGCCAACTCGTCGAAGTGTTACTTACGTAGCCCTTTCCTCTGCTGCTTTTGGCCTGTGTCGCTCTTTAAATGAATGGTCCACATTTGAAGATACCGAAAAGAGTGTCGGGTACATGAATAAGCCCACTTATCATCAACGATGCCTTTAAATGGAAAAGGCTGTTTTAGTCAACGCGAGTTTTCCTTTTAATGGAATGTGTTTCTCAATGGACACTTGTTTTTATTACGTTATGGTAGCTGATACAACGCTCAAGGAGAGCCAATTAACGGCCGTTTTATCTGGAAGTAGCGCTCACAAACGCCAGATATACACGACTCGGCAATTATATTTTTCTTGGCCTTGACCGCCGCATGATTAAGGAAAGCACAGGATCTGGATGGCATCATGGTGTCGTGAATGCCAGGATGATCTCGAAGATATCTGCACATCTTCACGAGCGTGTAGCTCAGAAATAGATAGGTCTTGAGGAATGCAGGGCTGTAAATTGCACCGATTGGTGTTAAATGTGGGCATTTCAGTTCAAAACTCCATAGAAGGGTGAAGCTCTCCATTTAAGACTATGGAAAAACTTGCTTCGCGCGACTGACTTTAAAATGGCTCGGTACACTCTGAACTGACAAAACACAGAGGCTTTGCTGAATTTTTGTCTGTGGATTCTCAAGACCACGAATTTCGGTGATCTCAATAAAAGATCGGTCGGTAATTTTTAGTGACGTGGTTCCCAGTCATTTGAGCATGAGTATGACCTCGAAAGGTAACCTTGAGTGGTCAGGAGTTTTTTTAAGGACGTTTGTTTCTTTTGTGCTTGGCACATATAATATTCTGATACTGGAAGATTTTAGATCGGACAGCAATTTTTTGGTGATAAGGAGTTCTCCGTAATTTGACCTGGCTTTACACCTTAATCGTCACAGGATATTGTAAAATAGGTCATTTTTGTCTTATTTGGCTGTAATTGAGCACCCAACGTGTTTTCAGAGAAATCAGAACTCTTCGCTGAATAAATCGCTTCAGAAATCCCTAACCTCGCGGGCATTATCAGCGCGATGGTGAAAGTTCCAGGTAGGCATGGATCCATCTGGATTTTTACGTCTTGGCTTTTTTGTCCTTCGACCGTTTCTGATTCGCCATTTGTCCGATAATGCTCTTATCCCGTCGACTTTCATCTCCTCCGACTATTTTCGTTCGATGTTTTTGTGTTCCCTTTTCCTATTTGGCTTTTCATTGGACTTGGAGATCTGTGTTGACTTGGAGACTTATGTCCGGCTATCCGTCTGTCACTGCTGGTCACTGGAGCATGCATGTGAATAAATACCGAGAATGAAAAAACGAAAATATACACGTAAGAGATATGGAATGAAAATATCCCCATGTTGTCATCCTGAATGCAGGAGAACTCACTCGCCTGCGTCGCGCTAAACCGTGTCAGCTAGTCAATTATTTTGACCTGTGCTCTCAATGCGGAATCATGTATTCCTCTGCCTGTTCAGACGCCTCCGTACGGCTGTACGCGGAGCAAAGTTCGGCTGCCTCACAGTAATCCAGGGGGCACACCACCATGTCTTGACGAGGGGACGAGGGCGTACAACAATAGGAAAGACACTTAAATAGAAGACAAAATGGGTGAGAATCATGTTTTTAACTAGTGGTGTTTTCGTTTCGTCAAGCGCTCTGTTGCCACGTTAGATTGAATAATTCCCAAGAAATTGCCTTCGCCGACAGCCACGGCCTGACTTTGACCTGCTAGGTTCAACGACCTTACACTGTGCATGTGCTTGTTATATTAAGGGATCTACTATTCGATTTCCTGCAGCTAATTAAAACAAGGCGCGGCTGCGCCGTGGCTGTTGAAGATCATTCATGAAAAACCTTCGAGGTTCAAACTGACCCTTCACTCGAACGCATATTAACCTTCCCACGGGGCCCGAAGCAAGTCACCAGTATTCTACTGCGCCCAGGGTGCGTGAAAAATTGCGTAACCCGTGTTTATCAACTGGACCGTTTGGTAAAGCGCAAGTCCGTCCAAGCGTTTCAGACTAGGGTTGAATGGTCTACAGGTATGACGGACATTTCCCAGGGGCCTGAAGTCCCATCTGACCCCCGCTCTGGATTCCCCTCGGACCTCACTTTGGACTGCTCGGAACGCCAGGCTCAAGACAAACGGTCCGTGAGATTTTCCGGGGTCTGTCGGTCCCAGGAGCCCTCCAAGGGATCTCGAGCCATGTCCTGAGCTCCAGTGGGCCCCTGAGCAGCCAGAGAGGTGCATTAGTTGCCGAGGGGTTTCTTGGTGGACAAAGTGGCCCATCACTGGCTAGCCAGGCCCCTGAGCGGCAAGATGGACACTGCAAAGAGAGCCTGGAACGTTTGCTTCAGCCACTGTTCGTCCAGAGGGCCTCTGAACTGTCAGGACGGCTAACAAGCAGCCAGAAGGCCACGCGAGGAGTCAGAAAGGCAACTTGAGCGGAAGGAGCGATCGAAAGCGCTCTGAACAGCTGAGGAGACTCCGAGTGTCCAGGCGATCGCGAGTGCACAGTTAAATGACTGGTGACCAAACGAACCGCTGAACGGCCAGTGGACTCTGAGTCAGGGAGCTAGAATCGCAAATTCCACCGCAAAACGACCGTGCGAGAGTGAAAAAATCCATTCACAAAAGAAATAATTTATGAGCTCGTGACTGATGCTTTAGCAAGGGGGAACTGACTCCCAAGGCCTTTTTCCGAATAGTCCTTGCACGGCGCGGCGTAGCCGCGCCATATTTTTCATAGCTGTAGAAAACTGCATGGCGGATCGTTTGACATACAAATTTTAGATGTATCTTGTAAGGTCGCTGACCTATGACAGATCAAAGTCAGTCCATGGTTTTAGCGAAGGCAATTTCTGGAGAATTGTTCAATCTGATACAACAGCGGAGTGTTTGACGAAGACATACATATCTGAGATGCTTTCTTAGGCACCGCAAATATTGAATGCGCAAATTACGTTGACCTAAGGTCAGGTATGATGGTCAGACGAAGGTCAAAACCAACCTGATCTATTACTCTAAGGGTTGCTGTATGGGCTAATTGCCGGTGCTCACTTCGAATTTATTGACAGAAGGAACCGCATTATACATTTTCAATTGACTTCTTAGAGGTCAGAACAGGCCATTGACCTAAGACGACCCGGGTCCAACCTTTTGTTTTAGGAACATACTGCCTAGTGTGATCTTTGTCGCTTATTCAAATGAAAACGCAGAGCAGTCTTGTATCACTTTGGTCACCATGACCTTCAAAGGGTCAAACAAGGTCAATGACCTCAAACGGGCTTGTGACCTTTTGCTTAGAGACAGTTGCATAGGTTCTGGGGGTGGTTTGGAGACCAACCTGGAATTTGACCTTGTTTGACCTTATTTGACCTGAAGGCCATGACCTAGGAAGCTGAAACCTTAACCTAAGTGAGTTCACGTATAGGTCAAGACACCCTGTAAATTTGGTGTATCTACCTTTTTTAGTTCCCGAGATCTCAGAGGGGGAGGGGGGTCAAATTGATCCCCTCCCCTCACACCCGAGCGAAGGGTATCTAGCCGGCCAACCGGGCGCGTGTTAAAGCCTAGTAATTTCATGACACTACTATGAGCATAACAAATTACTAACACCAATAGTTTGATGCTGCACTTTTCAATTACGTATCACAGCACTTTTAAAACAAAACAAAGCAAAGGAATTCAATAACAATATAACAACAGAAAATTCAACAAGCATAAAACACTCAAACCAAAAAACATTGGACTTCTACACATCAGTCCATCACCAAGTCAAACACAATAGACATACTTCTGGCTTCTGTTAAGGTGGGGTCAGGGAAAACAAACATTTTGTTACTGTTTCTTACAAAATACCAGCGCTTATTTCCATGAAAGTAGCCTATGCCTAACCTAAAGAGGCCTTACATCATCTCATCCTGTATAGCCTGTTTGTATCACAGCAGCAGTTGTGAGTTGCTGGTTCTTGCACAATGCCTATTGCCACTTGCCATGCACTTGACCAACTTAACCTAACTTAGAGTAGCCCATATGATGAACATCATCTCAACTCACCTGTCTGTTGACAGCAGCACTTGTGATACAAACAAGATATTTACAGCTAGTTTTTGGCTCATTTCAACTTGCATTTTTATTCGGTTCATTTGTGCATGCTTGTTGACATCAAAGTTGACAACACACAAACTAAAACACTTTAAATCACTTTGAACAACTTATTTTGATTGTCATGGTTAGCCTATGTCAAGGGCAATAATGGGTATGCTCCACAAAGCAATCTCTCTTCTCCAAAAATAACATCAATTTTAGATGACCATGCCAGTATTGCTACTGGCCTTTTCAGCTGGAGCAAATGCATCTATTTGGGCTTGTTTATTCCTATTTAATGACGTAAGTTTGAGGTGTTGGCTTCATCTTTCAAATGGGGTGGTCTGACAATTTGTTACATAGCAATATTTAACTCATATTATAATTGCTATGCAGCTTAGAGTATCCCTGTGTTAAAAATATAGTGCATATATACAATACAGTCATTTGGCAGTCAGCAAACCATGCCAACTATAGAAAACATCTGGTTAAAGCAGCCATGAGGGGCCACTTGAAGAAATTTGGGGCAAACAACCAAGCATATGGAACAAAATAAGCCCATTACATGCCTTGCGGCATTATAATTTGTCTTATGGCAAAACTCGATGCATTAAAACAGAAAATGGCTAACTCTGTTTACCAATCCATGCGTTGAAAGCAGGTACGGTAAGCAATTACTTGGTCCACACTAGACTTACCGGCTTCTTCCTGCTCCCTCAAAAACACAAATTCAGTGCCTTTTGCATGGTCTGCTGGCAGTCAGAGTCGTCCGAGTCACCCCCCAAATACAAATATCACTCATCCCCACCAACCTTCGAGATTAAAGTGCGAAATAAGTAAGAGGTGCGCATGATAAACATCTCCACAAGGCAGAATTTCTCCATTAAACACTTCTGTATTAGCTGCGCCAGGTCTGTCCCAAGGCTCTGTATGGCAGCATTAGAATATGCTGCCATATTGAGGCAGCTTTAGGCAGGGCTATTTTAAGGCCTTGCGAGGTGGCCTGGTAAGCAAGACACTCGAAAGCTTTGGATTTATCCTTATTGAGCACCGCCATGAACCAAAAAAACAGTTAACCGAAGGCTTAAGGGGGCAAAAATGGCGGTAAAAATAAGTTCCGTGCTTCAAGATTGTCTCCTTCATTCCCTGTGAATTGTTCACGCTTGGGTGCGTATCAAACATGTTTGGGCGGCTGGCGAATTTATCCAATTTATGCTATGAAATACGTACAAGCTTGCAGCTGGATCATCTTGCAGAAAAATTGGTCAACATTTTAAGCAGCAAATAGTACCTCCACAGGCAATCGAAAAGGAAGGGAGAATAAAGTGGTATCACACTGGTATGATATCAAGAAAAACAAAAGTAACTAAATAAACATAAAGACTGGTACTTTTCTCACAAGAGTCTGTCATCAGCTGATTTCACTTAAAATCTGTTAATATAAATGCTCAAATGGTGATATTCATCTTGTAAGCATCATTTAAAAGACATTTCTTGAACTTTTCACTCATGCATTTCGGGAGTGATGCATTTAGTGGTCAAGCTTCCTCGGGGAAAAAGAAGTACGTGGAGTAAAATTCTCTACCAGGTTTTGCTGGTGTTTGCACCAGGCTCTGTTTCCGTGGTGTGGCGGTGAGACCAAAAAATAGGGGATGCGTGAAAACCTTGTATTTGGCGTACAGCTGCAGATTGTGATGCATTTTGTAAACAAACCAAACTTCATGCGTGCAAGCGGCTGGGGTCGCTGGGGTACTTGCGCTTGGAGGTAGCTGGCGCTTTTGCTCTGTCCATACATGGACATGATTCAGATGTAGGTGAGGCAGGACATAGCCATAGGTGTCCAGGTTCTGCGGAGCCTCGTTTGTGCTTGGTGGTTTCAAGGTGAGCTCGGCTTTGGATGACATCTGAAAATCTCAGAAAGGAAAATAGGGGTTTGGCATGTGACGATTAGAGAATGTCAGGCAGGAGTGAAAAAACACCTAAAATATAGGGGACAAGGAGTGAAAAATTCCTCCTCATAGGGTGCTGCTTTACACCCAAAGTCGGCCATTCTAGGACACTGCTCTGAGTAGCCAATGGACTCTGAGTAGGCAGAAGAGCACTTAGGTAGTTAGAAGGGCTCCTGCGCAATTAGGGGTGCTCATTGAAGACCGGAAGAACCCCGGGTGGTCCGTGAAGCTCAGAACTGCTCAACAGTTACCAAATCTCCCTTGATTTCATCATCAGGGGACCCCGACCAACGCGGGGGGCCCTCT